GGGTGATAGGACACATGGATTGCCAGGAAAGGGGTTGGAAATTGTGCAAGACTTATTACGGATATCTAGGAGAAGAGCAAAAGGCAGGGGAAGGGAAGTATCAAGGCACTCTGTGGATGAGAAGTATGAGGGGGGCAAAAAAGAGGGAAAAATTAAAAACGGTCAGTCACATGTAAACGGCACTTGACTGGCCATGCCCTGCACCTGATCACCAGTCTTTTCTACCTTCTAATTAAACTTGATTTTTAACATTTTTCATGATTAGGAGTGTCTGTCCTTTGTGCATGTGTGTGTATGGAGGTCCAAATGCCAGCCACTGAAGAAGGAGCCACAGGGGCCCATATGCCTGGGATGCTGGCAGCTAAAGAGACTGAAGTGCATGTGTACTGTGTGGATGCCTACACATATCTGTGTGCATTCACCAGTGAACGTCAAGCCCAGTAAACTGGTGAGCAGGCTAAGAGCTTGAGAGCTACGTATGGAAGGGCTGCGAGTCAGAGTCAGCTGCTGAAGGGCCTGTAATGTCTGGGGGTCAGCTACAGGTACAGTCACAGGCCTCAACCAGGCAGTGAAGAGATCTATTTGTTCACATCTTTATGCATGAGGCAACTGGGCAACCAGGGGACCTAGGGACCAGCCACATGGCATAATGCATGTCTACAGACAGTTCCTGCATGGACTCACCATGCACATGTGTGCATGTGTACAAGACAGCATGAATATCAGCAGCTGGAGTTGGGTTGCAGAGCTCAGGTGGTTGCATGCACAAATGTTAATTGGAGAGATTGGGAGATCTAGGTCCAGCTACTGGAATAGACTAAGGCCAGCTACTGGATGGATTCATATTATACAAACGTATGCATGCGTGTATTTTCCACTAGTGAGCTTCACCCTTGAGCAGCCAGATGGGAACAGGACAAGACTGCTGGTGCTGTACACTTGCTCGAGTACTGTTTTGATCTGTGATGACCTGTGCAGCCAGCCATATATGTAGGTATATACATACTGTGTGTATGTATACCTCTACTGGGACTACATGCTTGATCTCAATACTTCAGGGACCTGGGTACATGAAGCTGCAGCAGCCTCACGTCTATCAGGCTACCAAAGCTGGCAGCTCATAGCAACAGCTAGTGAAAGATCAGATTAACCTGAGTAAGTGTGCAGAAGATGCCATTAAAAATCTGGCAAGGCACATAGATGCATTTTTCTGGTGAGAAAAAAAAGAACGTTCTAGCAAGAATACCTCACTAGTATCTATCGCCAGTAAGACTTAACAACAACTGAAAAAAAAATCAAAGACAAAACAGGGCACCAGCTTGATCAGCCAAGGGTCAAAAAAAACTTCACCAGTGAAGGTAATTTAACTTCTAAAGCAAATCAAAACCAAGTAGTAGTCAAAAAAAAATCAAGGGAGGTGATAACTACAGTGTATTTGTCAGATTACTCTGTTGCGTTATGTCTTTAAACTAAGACTCCCTTACCACATGCAGGTTTTAAAACACTGCAGTTTCTACATGAAAAATCTGGAAAGGTGTTCCAGTTCTGAAGTTTTAATTTAATATTTGAACCCACTGAACAAAGTGAGCAGCAAAAATCCTACTTGTTAACATTAAAACTTAAGTTATTCTATTGACAACTGAAGTTTCATTTGTACCCCACATTAAAAATATGTCCATTTCTCAGAATTACAAAATTAAACCAACAGTTAATATATTAGTGCAAGATATCTGTGCTGAGATTTTCAGGATACTTGCCAATTGCAAATTTTGTTTCCTCATCACCAAATCAAATAAATATTTGATGGTATTTAAATACCACAATTTTAAAAATTAATGTCTTGTGCAATAGCACTCACATAAATAATATACAAATAATTGCAAGCCAGAGTATGAAAAATGAAGATCTGATGTTATGCAGTACTTTGAGGGCCATTAGGTTATAGTTAACATTTTTATCCCATGCAGTGCTTAAGCAATTTTAGGTGAGCAAAGCCAGAAGTATAGGACAGGAATGTACGTAATCTCTAACTCACACTAGATTTTCTTGAATGTTGAGAATTGAGGTTGAAAACTATTCCAACTCCCACAACTATCTGCAGATGGGCCAAGTATTGTTCAGAATGAATGAGTTTGTGGATTTAATATAATACATGATTAAGAGTAATACTATAGCCTACATTTTGGAAGAAAAAGCTCTTTCCAAAAATTAAGAGTCCTACAGCAACACAGAACTTAGTAGCATGGTTCAAAGCTAACCAGTATGATTGAAAACACAGCCAGAGGTCTATGAACAAGACAGGACACACCTCTTTCAAGAGCTTTGCTAACAGTAGCTCCCCACACTGGGGAGTATCAATCTGAAAGAAAATCTGGGCCACAGGAACTCTGAAATGCCTAAAGGGAGTATAAGCCCTGTGTCATTAAACTCCCCACTCCATAGATTTAGTCAAAAGTCCACATTCCCACACAAAAGGTACAAGGGGAAAGGGGTACACACTACAGTCAGTAATGTTGTACTAGTCAGAGACTGGAGTTAAAAAGAAAATATGCAGAACAGAAAAAATGACTGGACTAACACTGCAATGGAAAATTCAACTTAAAGCCAAAACTAGAAGCAACAGAAATGGACAGAGAAGCCAAACTGAAAGCTCGTTCATACCTGTCATTTGATGATGGTCTGACAGCAGCTGGTGCCTCAGGTGGTTTTTCTGCTGGCTTCTCATCTTTAGGAGTACTCACAGGTGCAGATTCACAAGCAACTGCAGCTGGTGCTGGAGTGGTAGGGACAGGAGCTGGCACAGGAGCAGCTGCAGGGGTTGGTGCAGAGGCTGGTGTGGGAGCTGCACTTGTCAAGCTGACAGTGGCAGTAGAATTTGACTGCTGAGTTGCTGCAGCTGCTGCTTTGGGCTATTGGAGGACAACAAAATTCAGACACAGCACAAAACTCCTAAACCAATGCTTTCTAAAGTCAATATGTTGATTAAGTTCTGTTAAGACCACTTGTGCTTGACATTGCGGCCTAAACAAGTATAATGTTAAAATATTCCAAAATATCAACTACAGTGCCCCTTTCTGTGTTTAAACAGGCAACTGGTAGTGTCACCCATGCTTATTCAGACATCTAAGCATCCACACTGTTTGCATATGATGTGAAATGCAGAGATAAGATCTAAATATTTATAGACTGCAATACTCCAAATATGAAAACAATATTGTGTTTTACAAAAGTGCATTTTCAGATTGTCAAGAAACTCTGACAAGTGTAACAAGCGTAAGGTTTTCTCACCACTCACATTTGGAAAGAAGTGATAAAGGCAGAAATCACATTTCATTATAAATGCTATTTTCTGTAACATGAGATGGTAAGAATTAAGGCTAACAGATTTAAACTTAACCTGAAACAAGTTTTAATTATGTTGTCTTTGCATTTAAAGCATTACATAAAAAACATTTCACATGCTTGAGTTCAATAGTGACCACCAAAAATCCAGCAGAATCAAGGGTTACCAGATCTACAGCAAAAAAATTTAGATTTGCAAAAACTCACATGGCTGTGATTTAATCTTCATGCCTCACTACTGGAAACATGTATTAATCATATTAGATATAAATGATTGCAGCCCCTGGCTAAGTTAATGGAATTAAGTTTTTGAGAACTGTATCACTATAGTCCCTTACCTACAGATGGACTGACACAGCAGAGCCATGTTCCTGCCTGACCAAGAGGAACTATTGAATTTAGCATAACACAACTACTTATTCAAGACAAATCACTTGCAGATAATGTTTTCTTAAACTAGGAAAAAATATTTCCTCCTTATGTCTGAGAGTTTGAGAATGAATAGATTCCAACACGGCAGACATGGTAAACATGATTTTAACAAGTATTCATAGGAAAAAAAGCTCAAACGTAAATAGTACTGAGCATCCGAACAGGTTTGCAGTTGTGCTTATGCAACAGGTACTTTTGCACAGAATTGACTCAAAAGTAGGAAAAATTAACTTAAGGACTTAAAAAATGGACCATAATACTGAAGAACTGCCCAACTCCAAAGTACAGGTCTTTGACATGACAAGGTATTGGATTTAGCAATTTCTCCTGGGATCTTTGTTTCTTATGCTATAAATAAATGACAGATGAACTCTGAAATCCTATCAATACCAGTTTGCTTCCACTGATTCTCCAGGCAAACCACAGACTAGAACATTTGTTCGTTCAGGAACAGTGCAACAATAGACGCATTCAAATTGAGAATATAATGAACCAACACTGGACAGGAGCAATGTGTTTTTACTTCAGAGGAACACAGTTGGTTTTTTTGTCAGGAAGAAGACCTCTAACTCCAAAATTAACCTTGTATCTCAAGACTTAGATGAAGACAGCTTTATTCAATTCCAAGTATCTGGAATGCCTAGAAAATCAGTGGCTTGAGTAGAAATACTTCAAATATGTGTCACAATCATTCACTTCCATTTGCCATTGCAGTCTTTCAAAAGATTTTTTGACATATGTTATCTGTTAAGCCACTAGGTTTAAGCTGCTGAAAAGCAACAGGGCAAGACTGAAAAAGTTCTATTCAATCAATTTAGTTATGATCTAGCATCCAGTCTTCCTTTTAAGCAAATCCCAGGAAGGATATCCCAGAGACAATAAAGAAGGAATAGCAAAATCAAAGTCTGTCAGTGGCAAATATTTTCTCCAGTATAAACATCCAGAACAGAGCAGCAACAACAATCAACTTGGTTGCACAAGGTCTGAGAAGTAGTATTTCAAATCTATTCACATAATCATTTTACTGTTGACCAAAATCCTCAGATAACCACTATCCATTGGTTTCAAGGCATGTATAATCAATCACTCATAATAATAATAAAAAAAGTGAATGCAATTTTGTTTTCAAAAATAAATATTACTCACTTTTGTCACCATAACCACCACAAAGTTCTTCTCATCTATTTTGTATTCTTTAAGAGCAGTATCATCATTAAGAATTTTACCTGGCAAATAAATCAGATGCAAGTTTGTAAGAGGTCATTCAACAGATTGTTACACGAGCTTGCTTTTCCCTTACAAAAACAGACCTCCAAAAACACAGAAAAACAAGTCTTATGCAGGCTTATGAACACTAATAACTGTACAAAGATTCTAGCCATTAAGTTTTGGCAGTATATTTCCTATTAATGTTCCTCCTATGATGTCCCCAGTACTAGTTAGCTAGGAGACAGTCTTTCTACTTTGGTAGAATGCCCAACACTTGCTCAAAGTGTTGAATATGCTTCAAGTCATTTAAAACAGAAGTGTAAAATCTAGATTTAACTTTTAACACAGAGATGCAAGTAATGCAAAGGAAAGACTTTAGCGTACAATAAGCTGAACTGAGTATCTTATGCTGCTTATATACTCTAGACATAATGAGAAAATTCCTGTCTGTTCTCTTCTGTTAGCACTTAAATTTAGAGAACTGTTTATGGTTCCCTGCCACAGTTTAAGTTTATCTACTTGAGATAAGTTCTTGACTTTACAACTTTAAAAATCTATTCTTAAAAGAAGGCTAAAACATTTGAAAAAGCTATGACTGTTCCACATCCTGCTACCTTGATAGAAGGATGAAAGACAATGATCAGATAACAGTAGAAATCTTTTCGTCTTATACTACCACTTCTTACACTTTATAAACTGAGATGGCACTGTGGCTATTTATCTCACTTCTACAAGAACTTAAGAATATATTAAACCACATAGGCATTTTGTAGAATTAGTTACTTCAAAGGAAATCCCACAAATCATAAAATGAAGTCTGTACTGCAGTGAGTTTTAGAGCAGCTTATTCTACTACAGAGTTTTCAGAAAATATTTTATTGCTTTAATTGATTCATTTTCTGAGGAAGATTCCAAATTTTCCAAATTGATTCATTTTCCAAAGAAGTGCCAAAGATCACTTCCCATTTCAAGATTAAAATACACACTTTCAAAACCATCCTCAGTCATGGTGGAATATACCATTTAACTGTAACTAGTAGGAGACATCCTTATACTGATGATTGCAAGGAAAAAAAGAGAAGTGTACACAAATACTATGGCACTTACAACACAAATTAGGTGGTACTGTCCTAGTCCCCACTGGTTTTATCTTGGCCCTTCAGGCCAAATAATCAAGAACGTATTATGTATACTGTAGTAGTAATAATACAGTAGCAGGTGGTGTGGAATCTGACTCACAACCTACACAGGCTTATTTCCACTTTTCTGCTGTATAAGCACTTTTGGGAATGAGCTTGCACAACGCATATATGCATGCAACCAATCTTCTCTAGACATACTGCTCTCAGGGTTCATAGACTGATAGAGATGACAACACTAGAGATTACTAATCACTGCTGACTAGCAGTGATTTATTTTTTTTAAATAAGAAACCATTTTAGTTACAAATGGGGTATTTCTTATCAGGTTCAGCTGGGATATCACTCTACCAATGCATGAAACTTCTAAAGTTCATTTTAATCCACGTAAAAATGTCACCATTGCACCCTTGTCGTACCCCTTGTACAAGATAAAAAATAAAATTCATCTTTGAGGAGCAAAGACAGGGTTATGAAAATATGGAGTGAACTAAGAGTACACTTCAATTGTAAATCTTATTTTTTACATTTTCTACTTCTTGTGGTTTATACAATGCTGCAGAACAATTCTGGCTTTTTTTTAATCACCAAATATTAATGATTTCATACAATTACATACATATTACATGAGGCCTTCCACCTTGTTAATATGTCTTTATTATATATGGGACTGTCACGCTCACATTCTTGATGTGCATTATCTTCACTCAAGGCCAAGGAACAAAATTTGCTAAGAAACATAGTTGTGGGAATTCCTACAAACAAGTGAAGACTGGACTCATCTTGGGATTATCACCTTTCTACTATGACGAGTGCCTTTATCTTACTAAAAGTGGAAAGCCAGTACTGCTTACAAAGCAGAAAGCTGGAAAAGTAGAAGACCACCAAAATTTCTTTTAGCCATGACTTGAGAGGAAAAAGTAGTAGAAGTGTGGGTTGTGGGATGGAATGTTGATATGAAGTGAACACAAAATCTGTCTCTATGCATTAGTAGTAACAGAATAGAGCAGTCAGGTTGAAGATGATAGAAAACATTACCATAAAATTTCACCAAACTATGTTAGTACAAACCTAGTAATTTCATGCCTTTATCTGAATTTAGCCTGCTTTTTGCTATTACATAATACATGTTTTTAATGACAATTTAGAAGTATTACAAATTGCAGAAACAAAGGTACTTGTACTAAAAAGACAAGGGTTTGGCAGTGGGTGTCTGTTGTCAACCTAAAAGAAATAACCTATTAAATTGTCTGAGGTACAGGGAGGATGCTTCAGGTATATATACAAAATAAACCAAATAGAAGACAAGAGACCCATAACAGAAAATGCTATCTGCTTAAATACTTTTTTTTTTTTTTACAGCACCCAAGACTAAAGCTGTTAGCGTATTATGCCATGAGAGCACAAACAACAGAAACACAGAATTAAAACCCTCAAAATCTGATATAAGTTTGAGAGGTCCCATTGACAATGAGGTTTGTTGCTGGTTTTCTTTTTGATTAACTTGTTTTGCCTTTCAGAATTTAACGTCTTTAGAGACTTAACATTCAAATCAAAAGAATAGAAAAAATATGTTAGGTTCAGATACACATCCTGAAAATATCTATTACCTGCATAAATTAGTTTTTGTCCAGCTACTGGAAAAGCATCTTTCCCCCTTTCTGATTCAATCTTCTCTTTCAGCGCCTTCACCTAGAGTACAGAAAGAGTCTTGTTGAAAAAAATTGCTTTACAACAAAAACCTTAAGTACACTTTGTTCTTAAGCTTTTATTTCTAAATAGTAGTTTTCAGTCATATATTGATTATGCACTTAAAGTACATCGGTCTTTCAAAGATGTCAGCAAAAACTTTCCTAGTGCAATGTGTACCCTTCCACAAATACTCTAATTCAAATACAAAGATGAGAGACAACTCATTTATCCATAAAAATTCTTAAGCACAAGACTACCACAGTAAGAAGCTGAGAAATCTGGTCAAAAATGCTTCTATCTTCTAACCCACTTCTCTTCCTGTTCTTTCTCTGAATGCAGGGGTACACATACTATGCACAGCTAAAATTATTCTTTATCATGACTCTTCATGGAATGTCTTTTTTTTTTTTTTTGGTCACAGTGACATTTGATTTAACTTGCTGGAATCACGTGAAACCTTGATAAGCAACAACTTGTGCAAATTGTCCAGTTGTTCATTTTACAGACATAGTTCTCAATTATTTCCCCTTCCCGATAATATGCGGAGCTTTGCGTAACAAATGTAAGCCTACCCCAAAATCATTTTGCCCTATTTACTTGTTTACACAGGCCACTGATTTATAGCCTACACCTTCAGAGCACTGCAAACAACAGCTCAAATGACACAGTTTTAGCTGCCATGAACCAGGGGGCATGCGTTCTCCACAAAGACTGCGTAACAATATCATGAAGAGACAAAGGTTGTTCTTGTAGAACAGTGTCTGTAGCAACACATTTGAATCGTATACCTATATCAAAACATTCATTCTTGCTTCCTGACAGACAGATGCCGCCAATCTGTTATGAACTTACTGATCCAAACTCCACCTTCTAGAGCTTTCTTTTTCCTGCATATTCATAAGTTTTTTCATTCAACGCTTTGCTGTTAATAAGCATGTATCTAGCAATTCAACCAGCTACGCATGAGAAAATGCATTTGCCCTGACAGCTGAGCTGGACTGGGAATTATTTGTACCACAGGTAGCTGCAGTAGTATCATTGCTCTTAATTTCATTTTTTTTAAAGCAGTAGCTCACTACTAGGGTTGCTTACATAGTAAATATACTGAAACATCATTTTCAGATGTTAAATGGTAAGTATTTACTGAGACTCAAAAAAGCCAGCTTTTCAACACAATTAAAACCTGTCATCCACTCGACACGCCAGCCATACTTCCTGGTTTCCTATTATTCCTTTGTAAGTGCTGTAAATAACCTGTTTTATTTCTTCTTTTCCTTCATTGGCCTCCTCTCCTCCCTCTTCCTCTCAGATTTTACTTCTGAGGTTTATTAATGGGTTAATTCTTTCACATTTTGGATGTTTGGTCCAGCAGGGATTGACAAAACTTGAACACTGACGAGAAGCTGCATCTTTTCAACAGAAACAAGTAAGAGCTTGCT